TTTCCTTTCACTGAACAACAAATGCCTGCTAATGACTAATATCCTCAAGAATATCCACAATTTGAATACACTCCCTTACCTTTTAAAGTTATAATAGACTTGAAACAAGCAGTGACTATGTATGGAATGCAATCTAATTATGTTAAAGGACTGTTACAAGGATTAGCATAGGAATACCGCTTAATCTCCTATGACTGGGATATGTTACCTAGAACAGTGGCCTTTAACAAAAGAGAAGTTTCAAGCATTAGAGCAATTAATACAAGAATAGCTGTCTGCTGGACATATAGAAGATTCTGTTAGTCCATGGAATTTTCCTATTTTTGTTAAGAAAAAAATCAGGAAAATAGAGAATGATGACATTTGTATATTTTAAGGAAAATAAACGAAATTCAACCTACAGGTCCTCTACAACCTGGACTGCCACAACCCAGTATGATTCCCCTAGATTAGAATATTAAAATAATTGATTTAAAAGATTGCTTTTTCAGCATTCCATTACAACCTTCTGATTGTGAAAAATTTGATTTTACTATTCCATCTCCCAATAATTATAAACTTACAACTCGATGTCAATGGAAACTTTTACCTCAAGGAATGTTAAATAGCCCTAGATTATGTCAATACTTTGTTACTCAACCTTTAGTAAAATTAAGGAGAAAATTTCCTGATTCCTCAATTATTCATTATATGGATGACATTTTATTTGCTCATAAAAATTTGCTCACTTTACAAACCCTCTTTAAGCAAGCTGTTATAGAATTAACCGTTCTGGTTATTATTGCTTCTGACAAGGTACAGAATAGTACTCCATATAACTATTTAGGAAGTATAATTGAAAGAACAAAGATTCTTCCACAAAAAATTCAAATTAGGAGAGACAGTCTCAGGACTCTCTTAGGTGATATTAATCGGCTTCCCCCTTCATTAGGAATTTCAACCTATTTACTCAAGCATTTATTTAATACTTTAAATGGGAATTCTGAGTTAAATACTCCTAGACAATTGACACCTCAAGCTGAAAAAGAATTAGAATGGATAGAGGAACACATGAGAAATAGCTATTTAGATTATATTGATCCACAATATGATTTTGAATTATTAGTCTTCCCTTCTGAGCATTCCCCTACTGGTATTTTATGGCAAAAAGGAAAAATTCTAGAATGGATATTTTTACCACATCAGGAATCAAAGAAATTACTTACATATATAGATAAAATTTGTCAGTTAACTATTCGTGGGCACTTACGATTGCATGCCTTGATTGCACAAGACCCTTACCAAATCGTTGCTCCCCTTAATAACATCCAAATAGCTGACAACTGGAAATTGAATGATAGCTGGCAAATAGCCTTTGCCAACTATATAGGAAATATTAATAATCATTTCCCAAAAGACAACGTATTCCATTTCTTTAAAAATCTCAATGGATTTGTACTGACATTATTAAAACTCATCATATCCCAAAAGCTGATACTTATTAAACAGATGCTAATAAGGAAGGCAAAGCAGGATATAGTGGAAAAACTACAAAAATTGTTCAAACTTCTTATCTCTCAGTACAAAAAGCTGAATTATATGCTCTTATTATGTTATTACAAAATGTTACAAATCCCCTTAATATTGCTACTGACTCACAATATGTTGAATATATGGCAAAACATATTTACTCTGTTACTCTATTTGGTTATTGCACTGAATTGCATCAATTATTTTGTACTTTGTAACAATTATTGTATGATAGACATCATGATCTTTATATTACTCATATGTGAGCACATATCTCCCTCCCTGGACCAATGACTAAAGCTAATGAACACATTGATAAGTTACATATTGGATCCCTATTGACTGCCAAGGCATGGCATGAACAAACTCATGTTAACAGAAAAGGGTTACAAGTTAAATTCCACCTCACTAAAGAACAGGCTCAAAATATTATTTATCAATGCCCTCAGTGTACTCAAATTCAAAGTAAACCTTACACCCCAGGGGTCAATCCAAGAGGACTGCACCCTAATGAACTGTGGCAAATGGATGTCACCCATATTCCAGAGTTTGGAAAGCTATCTTTTGTTCATTGCTCAGTTGATATGTATTCTAGTTTTAGATGGGCTTCTGCACTATCACTAGAAAAGGCTGATAATGTAATTCAACATTTACTAGAAGCTTTTAATGTTATGGGATTGCCAACTAAAATCAAAACAAATAATGCCCCTAGTTATCTTTCAGCAAAATTACGAAAGTTTCTCTCCCAATGGGATATTAAGTATGTTACTGGAATTCCATATAACCCTCAGGGACAAGCAATTATTGAAAGACATAATCGTACATTAAAAGAGATGTTGCTTAAACAAAAAGGGAGACAATGGTGGCATAGAAACTCCCCATATGAGAATACATAGCACATTATTTACCCTGAATTTTTTTAATTTAAACGATACAGGTTCATCAGCAGTGCACAGATATTGGGTACAGGAAAAGCCTCCTGAAATAAATCAGCCTGCTTTTTACAAAAATGACATGGGAGAATGGGAATCAGGGATGGTTCAAAGGTGGGGCCGAGGATATGCTTGTTTCATTACAGAAACAGGAGAAACTGTGTGGATCCCAGCTAAAAAGATAAAACCCAAAAAATGAACAAAAGGCCTCGATTTGATGTTGAACCTCCAGTTGATGAGATGCAAGCCATGATTATTGGAAGATCCAGAGTTCGAGTTCCATTACCAAGAACTCAAAAAGTGAATCCCCCAACATGGGGACAACTAAAAAAGATAACACAGGAAGCTGAAAAAATTATACAACTGACCGGACAGGCACGCAACGCTTCAAATTTGTTCTTCGCTGTGATTGCTCTGGTCACAATAGAGGTAAGTTCTGCTAATGGCATTAATCATTCATATTGGGCTTACATTCCTAACTCCCCAATCAAGCAAGTTATTCATTCGCTCTCCAAAATGGTCCCAATATACGTTAATGATTCCAATTGGACTCCTGGTGCTTATGATACTCGTAGCCCATTAAGGCCAGAAGAGGGTTTGAAAATTGTAAATTATGCAGTGGGAGTAGAGGGGATACCCATTTGTATTAGGCATGAATACCATTGCTTGAAAATGCAACCAGCTGCATGGCTATCCATTGTCAAAAACGATACCAATAAAATATTATTCCTTCTTCAAGCATTCGGATTCCACAAAAAAAGATAATACAAAAGACACAAAAGATCATACCCCAATTTACCCACCTGCATCTAGCCAATAGCTACGAAAATCAGTGAATGGGTGCATAGGACGAATTGTCGAGGGGAAATAGGTCAGGTTTTATTTAATACTTCCTATGGAAGCGTCATTGATTGGAGCCCTCAAGGTTCCGCCCAGACCAAAGGACAGGGGCATGACCTGAAATGGTGTAAATATATTAATGGCATTAATTACACCATTGTCACGTTTCTAATGAGACCATTTATTGGCATGGAGGTGGAATGTCTCTTCCTGCCCCACATTTACCTTTTGGGTCCCTGCAATATCACTTACGGAAAATTCCCTCAGCTTTATGGGGTCTGATAGCTTGGAAAGACCATATTTGGAATGATAGCATTACAAAAAGTAGTCGATTGAGTTTTACAAAAAATGAGAGTCATTATATTACAGTCTGTGTCAGATTGCCTTATTTAATTATGATTGGTCATACAGTGTGGAATTCGTCCAGATATTCCATCTCCTCTGTAAATTGTTCATTTTATACTTGTATAAATAACTCTGTTCCTTTTTCCACAAAATATGATCTTTATATTCTGAAGGGTAGAACAGGTCTCTGGCTTCCAGTTCAACTACACCGAAAGTGGGAAAATTGTCCAAGCATGATGCTTCTCCAATATACTATTGATAATCTTCTGAAAAGAACTAAATGAATGATTGGATTAATCATTGCAGCTGTCCTGGGGATCATAGCCATAATTGTAACTGCTGCAACCGCTGGGGTTGCACTTCGGCAACGTGTTCAGACGGTTGACTTTGTTAATAACTGGCATTCTAATTCATCAAAATTGTGGACCACTCAAAGACGGATAGTGAAAATAATGCACATTGACTGACTTGCAACAAGCAGTTATTATGCAAGGAGATCAAATTGTTAGTTTGAAACATCAAATTTCTACAAAATGTGATTGGAATACAACTGGATTTTGTGTTACTCCTATACCTTATAATCATACTTACTTTCCCTGAGATAATGTTAAAATACATTTGTTAAATCATGGTAATATGACTCAAGAAATATTAGACCTTCAACAGCACATTACTGATACTTTCCAGAAACAATTACAAGTATTAAGTGGTTCTAATCTATTGGAAAGCATTGCAGATGGAGTAAGTAGTCTGGACCCGATAAATCAGTTTAAAAATTATAGTGGTTCCACTGCTCCATTTACAATAATTGTATTGTGTTTGTTATTTGTGTTTTGTATAGTCTGGAGAAGAGCTACCCGAAAACGTCAACGTGCTCAACAGAAATCAGCAGTCTTCTCATTAATGTTACAAAAGATGCAAGCTAAACAAAAAGGGGGAAATGTAGACACCCCAGCAGGTAACTTTGCTGTAGTTTAGTTTCTGCTTAAGCTTGATTTATAACCAAAACGCATCTAAGAGAAAAGAAAAATATGTTTGCTGCTTAAGTTTGATTAATAGCCAAAACCAATCTAATAGAAAGAACAATATGTGTTAATTCCTGGAATCTGGTGTCAGTTATGAACAGTGTGCAACAGGAGCTGCAAACAGTTTTTGTGATCCCTCTGAGGCAAACCCAGACAAGGAACATGCTGTGAAACTCACATAACCAGATGATTTGACTTAACACAATGGAAACAGAAGAAACATATCTAGTTCGCTGTTGGTTGATTCGTTTAAAAAGTACATTTAATAATTATTAACCAATGATTGTTTTACCACTTGCTGTAACCTGATAAAGACGCAGAGGCACACTGACTCGTTGCTTAGTCTCCAAAGGAAGTCTAAGCCCTCTGCATTAAACGTCATTTTGACTCGGTTTCTCATTTTTGCAGTCTCCAATTGCAACATTAAGGTATGCATTTTGGTCAAGACTGTGGTCTATTGCTGTGAATGTTTCATATGAACTTAAGAAGTGCATTTTGTTCTTTGGTACAGAGCATTCTATAAATGTAAATTAAATCGATTTGCTTTACTGTGCTGTTCAGGTCAACTGTATCCCTACTGATTTTCTGTGTGCTTGATCTATCTTACTGACAGAGGGGTATGGAAGTTTCCAACTGCAGTAGACACAGGTAAATTGACAGTCTTGTTACATGCACACACATTAAGGTTTGTCATGCTTTCTTGTAGAGGAGAAATTCCCCTAATAACTTTCCTTGTCTGTAATCTGTGTAGTCTGAAATTAATATAGCTACTCCATCTTTGTTTTGATTGGTGTTAATACAACATGTCTCTCTATTCTTCACTTTTAAGCTTTATAAGTCCTGTTAATTAAATTGGATTTTGTAGACTACATATAGTTTGGACTTATTTGTTCACTTTGACAATGTTTATAATTAATCTCAATCTTTTAATGTTTTTATAGTATTCATATTTAAGTGTTGTTTATATAGTTGGATTTGTATATACTATACTTGTAACTTTTTCTGTACATCACGTTTACTCATTTTCTCCCTTCTCTAGTTTTAATCAAGCATTTTATTTGATTCCATTTTATCTCCTCTCTTAGCATATGATAAAAGCTTCCCTTAAAAAAATTAGTCCTGCCCTAGAGTTTATGAGATACATGTTAAGATAATGTAAGCCCACCAGCAAATAGTAATCTATACTTCATGTATAGTGTAGAAATATAAAAGAATCCCCCTTCCAGTTACTTGTAACATTGCTGTCATGCATTTAACTTATCCCTATTTAATACTTACCAAAATATCACTACTATTATTGCTTCTAACACAGTTATCTTTCCTATCTACTATGAAGTAGAAAAATAAAATGTACTTATTATTTTTATTCCTTTTCAGGTATTTTTGCTGTCTTTAAACTCAACTTTATGAACTGTATCATTTTTCTTCTAAATAATTTAACATTTATTCTAGGACATGTCTGTACGTGATGAATTTCTTCAATTTTGGTTTTCTGAAAAAGTGTTTAGTTTTCTTCACTTTTGAAGGAAAATTTTCCTGGATATAGAATTATAAGTTGGTGTGTTTTTCTTTTCTCCTTTCAAAACTTTACATTTTTTACTACACTCTCTTGAATGTTTACTGATGGATTTTCCAATGAAATTCTCATCCTTTTCATCTATATGGAAGGTGTATTTTTCCCTCTAGCTTCTTTTAAAATTTTTCTCTCTGCCTTGTGTTTTCTGCAATGTGAATATGATATGCCTAGGAGTTTTTTTTGTTTTGTTTTTATTTATTCCTATTTGGTATTTTCTGAGTGTCTTGTAGCTGTGGCTTTGTGTCTGTCATTGATTTTAGAAAATAATCTGCTATTACTTAAATATTTCTTCTGCTCTATTCTATGTTTTTTCTTCTGTTATTCAAATTATGCATATGCTATGACTTTTTATCTCACAATAATAAGATGTTCTGCTCTCTTGGATTTTTCTTTCATTAGTTTTTCTGTTTGACTTTTAGTTTGGGGAGTTTTTATTGACCTTTCCTCAAGTTCACTGATTCTTTCCTTGGCTGTGTCTAGTCTACACATAAGCCCATCAAAGGCATTTTCAATTATCTTAAAGAGTCTTTTTAAATTTCTAGGATTCCTTTATATTCTTTATTAGAGTTTCCATCTCTCTGCCTACATAACCCATCTGTTCTTGCATGTTGTCTACCTTTTCCATAAGAGTCCTTAACATTTTAATCATAGTTATTTATTCATCAGCTGCTATCTGATACTTCTGAAATCTATTTTATATCAGAGTCTGGTTCTGAAGCTTGTTTTGTCTCTTCAGATTGATTTTGCCTGCCTTTTCCATATATTATGTACTCTTTTCCTGAAATGAAGACACTGTATTGGGTAATAAGATCTGAGGTAAAAATAGGCCATTAGTGTGAGGTTTTATATTAATTTGATAAGAAGTTGGTCTGTATTCAATGTTTGCTGTAGCTTTATACATCACAGGCTTCAGTTGCCTCTTATGTTTCTAGTTTTTGTCTTTCCTGTTGTGTTTGGACTTCCTTAATAATTCTTTGTCAGATAGAGCTTGTGTCTTCCAACTCTTCCAGTTGTGGTCCAGTTACTTTACTGTGGTACATTGTTGGTGTGATGGAAAGTTGTGAAGAAAGGAAAGTGTCATATAATCTTATGACTATGTCTTAGGCTTGTAGTGTACCAGTGTCCCTGAGCTCTGGCCTTAACTATTGTTTCTTAGATTTCCCCCTCCTTATGTGAGACAACAAAGCCAAGGCGGCTGGAGTCAGAGAACTTCACTTTCTCCAAGGTGGGATAAGGATCTGGTAAATTGTTTTCCCCTGGCGAGTAGAACTTTTCTATGGACAATACTTTAGGTTTATTTGACATTGTTTACTCTCCCCTTCCCCCTGATAGAATCTTCTCTGTGTGAACCTAGTGGGTTTCCAAAAACTAAAACTCATGGAAGTGTTGGTGCCTTCCTCACCTGAGGCCACCCAGAAATTTCAAGCTCTCATACTAGTCCACACTCAGCTTACAGAAATTCATTCAAATGCCAGTTTATGGCTCCAGTAGCTTCTGCTGCAGATAATCTGACTTTTGTTGTGAATCTGCATTTGCCTCTGTCTCTCCAGATTTCAGGGTGGCAGCTTTTCCTGAAACCTCAGTTCTCTGATGGGTCCAAGAAAATCATTGATTTTCATCTTATTTGTCCTTTTCCTTGTTTTAATGATGGGTGTGAAGACTTCCGAGCTATTTTATGATGGAGCTGAAGTCTGAAGTCTGCAAGTACCCCCTATTTAAGAAATAAATAGAATATGTAATCAAAACCCTCCTTTGAAAGACAACTGAGATCCAGGTGGCTTCACTGCTGACTCCTACGCAATATGTATGGATAAAATAATACCATTCTGACAGAAGCAGCTTCAAAAATAGAGGAAGAGTGAGTATTTTCCAAATTATTTTACAGGGTTAGCATAACTGTAGTTTCAAATTCTGATGCAGATACTAAAATAAGACCAAATTAACCAATATGCCATGAAGTGAAGATATGAATTCTTAAGCAAAATTTTGTTAAGTTGAATACATCAGTAAATGCAAAGGATAACACCTCATGACTAAGTGTGTTTGGCCAAAGATATAGGTTGGTTCAACATAGAAAATCAACTGATATACTTCACATCAGTAATGGAATAAAAGAATAATGATATAATCATCATAAAACAGATGCAGGAAAAAATGAAAAGTTTCAACAAACACTCATTTTTTTAAATGTCAGCCAATAAAGAATAGAACAAAATGCCTTCAATCTGATGAAAGGTGTCTATGAGAATTGTATAGCCAATATTATACTTAATGGTAAAATGTGGAAGGCAAGGATGGCCACTCTTATCACTATTGGAGAGTAGATCTTTCTACTACTATTTATAATATTATGTACTACTATTTGTAATAGTATTTAAATACTATTTCACTTTAGTATTTAAAAACCTAGCTAATTCAATAATGCAAGAAGAAGAAATAAAATGCACAAAGATTGGAAAGAACTAAGAAACAATGTCATTTTTAGATGACATCATTGCATACACTGAAACTGCTATGAACTGAGAAAAATAGATATAATACATGGCTACAGGAGGGCATGGAATACAAGGTCAATAATTTTTTTAATGTACTTCTATATAAAAATTATGATATGAAATAAAAATACCTTTTTAAATTATATTGAGATTTTAAATAATGGGTGTAAAAACAACAACAAATGTGTCAAATCAGGAATTGGTTAGCAAATAAGGAAAATAAGAAATTGCTGGGCCTCTGTGGTTATCCAGCCCATACCCTGTTTTAATTAATAAGCTTTTATTGGAATACAGCCATGTTTATTGGTTTATATATTGCTATGCCTGCTTTCCCATTATAACACTGAGGAGTTCTGGCACAGACTGCTTGGAACAATAATTATGCCTCTTAAAAATTTTACTGACTGCTATGCTAGGCCACTACACTGAAAAGTAAAAAATTATTTCTGAGGTGAGGAAAGCAAACTTACAGCAATGGAAAGATATACTATGCTTATGGCTAAAAAGACTCAAAATTATTGAGATGGACATTTGTCAAATAGGTATATTGATTCAAGAACACCAAAACAAAAATCTCATCAGGATTTTTAAAGGAGTACATGAGTTAGTCATAAAATTTATATAAATATATAAACTTGAGAAGGATGTAGAACACCTGAAAATATACTGAAAAATAAGAATAACATGATAAGATTGAAATGACCAGATATCAAGATTTCTATGAATCTACAGAATTTTAGACAATGTGCTATTGGACAATGGGCAGACAAAGTTGATCAGGGGTTACCAAACTACAACCCATGGATCAAAATTGGCACACTACGTATTTTTGAATATGCTGGGAGCAAAGATTTATTTTTTCATTTTCAGATGCTATAAACAAATAAAAAGAATAATATTCCATGCCACACAATGGTTATAAGAAATGTAAATTTCAGTGTACACAGATAAAGGTTGACTGGGGAATAACCCAACAGAAAATAAGCACTGAAACTCACCACCCTCTGTTTCCACAATCAAATATTTTGGCATTGGAGTATAAACTACTCATCTTACAGGCTGGCAAACCATGTGGGTTTGGTGGGGTACACAGTAGCACAGAGGAATGGATTTCAAACAAATCTCTGATTCTACTGCACTAGATTATGTATGCACAAATTCCATTGTCTGTGTTTCTCTTAGAAGAGATATGGGTCAAGATAATGATGTACTGGCTTTCTCCTTCCCTGCTTTTTTTCCTAGAGTAACCAAGGTACAGTAATCTAGACAGTGTGGTATTGGGATAGGGATAAACCAGTGCTTAATGGGACCGAAATGAGAGTGCAGAAATAGAACCATATGTTATGGTCAGTTCCTTCTACAGTAAGGTGCCAAGGAGTTCGATGAGGAAAGTTGAGTTTCCTTCTACAAATAATGTTAGAATCCACTGAGGAAAAATGAAAACTAAAAATGAAACCAATATCATTGGAAAAACATGCAGAAATAATTTTTTAAATGAATCTAAAACTAAATGTAAAAGTTAGAAACAATTCTTCTGAAGGAAAACTTCAGTGAATATCTCTGAATGAATATCCTTGACCTTTGCCTAGGCCAAGATGTCTTGGACAGGACAACAATGGTACCTATTGAAGAAAGACTCAACAAACTGAACTGTTGAAAATGTATGACATTGTTCTTCCAGTGAAACTATCAACACACCTAATGAACTAAAACTAACAAAAGATTACCATACCAAACCTTGGTGAGGATACGGAGCCATTAAAACACTCATAAATGTGGTCTTTGTCTTTCTCTGTCTTACTTATTTCACTTAGCATAATACCCTCTAGGTGGATCCATAGTGTTGCAAATGGCAACATTTCATTCTTCTTTATGGTTGAATAATATTGCATTGTATATATGTACCACTCCTTCTTTACTCACTCATCTACTGATGGACACTTTGGTTGCTTCCATATCTTGGCTTTTGTAAGTAATGCAGCAAAAAACAAAGGGGTGCGTATAGCTTTTTGAATCACACATTTTGTTTTCTTTGGGTAAATTCCCCGAAGTGGAATTACTGGGTCAAAAGATGTTTCTATTTTTAGTTTTTGAGAAACCTTCATACTGCTTTCCATAGTGGCTGCACCAATTTACACTCCACCAGCAGTGTACGTGGGTGCCTTTTTCTGCACATCCTCAACAACAATTGTTATTTATTTTCTTCTGGGTAGTAACCATTCTGACTGGTGTGAGGTGATATCTCATTGTGGTTTTGATTTGCATTTCCCTGATGATTGATGATACTGAGCATCTTTTTATGTGTCTGTTGGACATTTGTCTATCTTCTTTAGAAAAATGTCTATTCAGGTCCTCAGCCCATTTTTTAGTTAGATTATTATTTTTTGGGGTGTTGAGTTGTATAAGACAAAAACCATATGACTTCACTTATATGTGGAATGTAAAGAAAACAAAGCAAATGAACAGACAAACAAATGAATGAAGCAGAATTAGATTTGTAGGCACAGAGAAGAGATTGATGGTTGCAAGAGTCTGGGGTGGTGGTTGGGAGGGGTGGGTGAGGTAGGTGAAGGTGAAAAAGAGGCACTGAATTTCAGTTACAATATGAATTAGTCACAGGGATGATAGTATGCCATAGGGAATACAGTCAATAATATTGTAATATATTTGTATGTTGACAGATGGTAGCTCCACTTACTTGGGGGAGTATTTAATAATGTAGATAATTGTTGAAACACTATTTTGTACACCTGAAACCAACATAGTATTGTATCAACTGTACCTCAAGAAAATTCATACACTTCTGGTATAGAATCACTTTTGATAGCTGTTTGTAGTATTTTAAAATAGTGAGGCATACACTTATCACCATATGACCTACCTATCTCACCGCTAGGTATTTATCCAAGAGAAATAAAGACATATGCCCATGCAAAGACACAAACGTGAATATTGATGGTGGCTTGATTCATATGACTCCAAAGTGGGAAACAATCCAAAGGGCCATCAATAGATAATGCAAAAAACAAAATGTGGACATCCATACAATAGAATAATGCTCAACAATGAAAGAGAATGAGGTACTGACACATTCAATAACATAGTTGATATTCAAAATTATTATACTGAGTGAAATAAGAACACAAGAGTGATAGTGTATACTTCCATTTATATAAAATTCTAGGTATTTCCAGCAAACCTGTAGTGACAAGAAGCAGGCCAGTGTTTGACTGGGACTAGGGATGTGAAGAGGGACAGACTGCAAAGGGTGCAACAAATCTTTTAAATGAAGTGGAACTTGCCTCAGTATTGATTGTGGCAGTTCCTTTATGTGGTATACACCCAAGATGACAGAGCTGGAGGTAGAGGAGAAGGGCTCTTGGGGAGACAGGTCATTTTTTCCATTGAAACTGTGTCCCTGGATGTGTATTTTTACATGTAGAGGGACTTATTTCTAAAGTGTAGGAAACATCTGTGTATATTCATGTGAGGCAAGGGAAGGAGAAGGAAGAGGAGAGGACCATGATGGGTGGACTCAAGGCTAGTTTGAGTTATAGTCAAACTATCACCGTCCAAAGGGCGAGAGTCAGAAATTTCTCATTGCACTGAAGCCATGGTGGTGGGGGTGGGGTCAATAGGAAGATCCAGCAGTTTCAGAGAAACTATTGAAAGTGGTGCCCATGGGATTATCAGCCACAGATATTGCAGTGGAGCCATCAGGATGTAAGGGAATGTGACCACATCAACCCTGACTTGGTAAAGCTGTCCATGCATGATCCAGGGACCAGGAGGAAGCCAGCTTGACCTCCTGCCACCAGCACAATCAGGTCAAATAAGCTCAGTCCTATACACCTGCTGCCATCTTAGAGGGGAGAAGGGTAAGACAGAATTGGAGACATGGAGAAATAAACACAAGGAGATAAAAGCTGTCTTTATTATGTTCCTTTGAAAATACCATGACCCATACAAACCAAAAGATTCTGTGACGATTTCACATATGTCCATGGATTCTTTGGCAATCTCTTCAAAAGGTACAGTCCAATTCCCCACTCTGAGCATAGGCTATGACGGGTGACTTGCTTCCAATGAATAGAAAGAAGCAGAAGTTCCAGTGTGTCTCTTCCAAGAGTAGGTCATAAAAGATATTGAGGTCCCTGTCTTCATTGGTCTCTCATTTGGATGACTTGCTTTGAGCAAAACCATATGCCATGTCAACACTTGAGTAGCCTATGGTGAGGCTGCATGGGAAGGAACTGCTAATGGACCTCCAGCTAATAGCCATGTGGGTAAATGATCTTCGAGGTGGATCATCCAGCTCCAGTCAAGCCTTCAGATGACTGCTGCTCAGGCCAATATCCTGAATGCAATCTCATAAAAGACCCTGAGCTAGAACCACCCAGCAACTGAGCTGCTACAGAATTCTTGGCTGACAGAAACTGTGAGATAAACATTTATTGCTTTGGGCACTACATTTTGGGGCACTGGTTACAAAGATAGATAACTAATGAAAATACTGACATATTTATTTATAGTATGAACAATATCATTAGGAAAAATACATTGTAATGTCAATATACAAGAACCAACCAGGCTTCCTTAATTTAACATAATCTGAAATAAGTGTGGAGGAAGGCATTCCATGAACTTCCAGGTTTCAGAGAAGGAAGACAGCATCATCATCATTTCTGTATTTTCCACTGTGACTAGCAAAAGTGCCCCTTTGTTTCCAGTAAATGTTCCTTGGTTGGAAGAGATTCTATAGTCTAGACTTATAAGGGAGCATTGAGTTCATGTGCTTCAAATTTTCTTTTTCACCTGTGATAAAAATTAGTTCCATAAATGAGAGGTGACTCTCCCAAGGTTAGGCAATTGGTTAGAAGTACACCAGGAGTAGAATTTTGGTCTCCTGGCTTCTAGTTCACTAGGCTTAAATTATCAATGCATGTTTCTACATTAGAAGATTGTGGGGGATGGTTGCAAACATTTGGGAAGGTCTAGGAGGAAAGAGTGAAGAGAATGCTTTGAAGGGAGGAAACTGGACACCACTGTGACCCCTCAATTCTTCTATATTTTTTAGTGTCTGTGTACACTTGAGGGCAGGAACAGCTCACACAAAATCATTGAATGTTCTATGCTGAGTAGGACTCACTCCCTACAAGCCCTTCTTCCACTGTACTTGGCTCTGCCTTTACTTCATCACCATGGACTGGAACAGAAATGGGATACTATATCAAAGGCAAAGGCTGGGCATTGGGAAGGGTAGCAGCCTCTGAGGGAGATTTACACATAACTCTGCCACACTGCAATTCCTTCATCTTTGATAATTGCAATTTCACTCAATGAAAAGACCCTTCTCTTTGGGGAAATATGAGTGCAGGTTTCATTAGATGGGCTGGGCTCCTCAGGCTATCTCAAGCAATGGTGACCCTTTTTTTTCTGGTTCTCTTGGTGCCTGCTGAACAACCAAGACTTGGAGGCACCAAACAGTATGATATCTATATCAAGGGGGCAGTGAAGAAAGAGCCACTGGCAATGGAGTTGCAGTGAAGACTGTGGCCCTGGAAGAGAGTGGGGAGGGTATGTTAGGAGACAGCAAGGATCTCTTCATTGCCCTCAAATACACTGTTTGTAGTCCACAGTTTGAGCTGTGGCCTCTCATCCCTGGATACCTGGGAGATGTATGTCCCAAAGGCAGGGATTTGCTGGCAAATGGGTTAGTTACCATTCTCCAACAGTTAGGGGATCTCATAGTGTGTCAGTGTAGTGAAAACTGCTGCCACTTGAATCCATAAGTAGACGTGCAGAGGGGAAGGAATGAACCAGAGGCCAGAAGGCCCACCCATAGGTGCCTGGGAAATAGTCCCATGAATGTCACAGCACTTTTTGCTTACAGCCAGTGCCTTCAGATCCTTGAGCCTAGGTAGAGAGTTAAACTCTATTCTCTGTCATCTTCAACTTAAGTGGTAAGACTGTCATTTCACTCCACAGTAGCTGTAGATGTTGAGGAGCACTCTGCAATATGAAAGCCATAAATTCTCAACTCTTACCCTTTCTACACTGTTGTCTTTCAAGAGTAAACTTCTTGGCTTCTGTCTACTTTTGGATGCATTCCAGTACCTTTAAACATTTGTTTTCTTGTACTCTTTTCCAGCTTTCACGATTAAAATCTGTGGGATGGTTCACATGACTTTTTTATTCGTTTAACTCTTCCACCATAACCAGTTCTGGACTATGTCTTAGAACCCAAAAGAGACAGGAAACATAATGAAACTTTTGCAAGAATTTTATTTTTTCTTTATTTTTTATTGAAGTGCAGTTGATACACAATCCATATTGGTTTCAAGTATACAACACAGTGATTACAGAGTTACACACATTATTAAATCCTCACCCCAACCAGTGTCTGTCAACACAGAAAGATGTTACAGAACCATTGACTATATTTTCCATGCTGCACTTCCATCCCCGTGACCAACTTACATTATGACTGAGGTTTAGTGCCTCTTTAACTCCCTCACCCTCACCACTCACCCATCCTAAACCCTCTACCACCAGTCACTTCTCAGTGTCTGCGAGTCTACTGCTGTTTTGTTCATGTTGCTTAGTTTTGTATTTTTTTAGATTCCACATATAAGTGACATCATATGGTCTTTCTCTGCCTGGCTTATTTCACTGAGCATAACACCCTCTAGGTCCATCCATGTTGCCATAAATGGCAGGATTTCTTCATTTTTATGACTGAATAATATTTCATTCTGTATATGCACCCCATC